GAGTTCAAATTAAATTACATGAACTTTAGTGGATTTAAAGATTTTAATTACCTGGATTTTGATTGGAATATTTTTAGAACATATTTAAATCGTTGAAAAAAATTGTCATTGGTATTGTGCAAAAATTCAATAGAAGTTTCATTGGAAAGCTAATTGCAGTGATAGATCCAAAATAATTTCATATTGAGGGCATTATTTAGTTAATAGAAAAAATAAACCATCAAAATAACATGTTATTACAATTTATAAATTATACTTTACATAATCTATCACGATTATCATTTGTAATACTTTTTTTATAAATTTGTACAATCACAATAAGGTAAAATATATTTAAAAACCAAAAGACAAGATTTTTTTCAATTCAACATAAGAAAATCGTTATATTCTTGTTGTAATTTTTGTTGAAATTTTCTCATTTTCTTGTAGTAAAAGTAGGACTTCAAATCTATAAAAAAATAGTGCATTATATATAATATTGTGTGCAAATATTATTATGAAATTTTGATATGATAGAAAATATAACACATTCAATGTAATTGGCGTTTAATTTATTAGTATTATAATAATTAAATAATGGGTAACAATGATGAGAAACTTATAACTCCCCTTAAATCCAAAAGTAAAAATACTGATAAAATTACTTAATGTACAATATCAATTGGAGCTGACTAATGAGAAATATAAACCATATATACTTAAGAGACACATATATTTTAACTAGAAATTTTAAGTACATAATATATATGTATATATATATATATATATATTTCTTTAAAAGTGGGTATGTTAATCTTAAAATTTTTTAGTTAAAATTTTTGTTGCTTTCTATCATTAATTTTTTTAATTTTTGAAATACTTCATATTTTTTATTTGTTACCCTTTTTATATGTAATATATCACACTATTTCTTTTCAATGATGTTTGAGTTGACCAATATACTACAAATAAAATAAAAATAACATAATTATTTATATCGATATAAAATAATATGTATATATATCAGTACTAATTTAAAACAATAAATTGATCTAAAGGTATATTATATAATACTTTTTATAGTCAAGTTAAATCAATTTTATTAAGTATAAAATCACATAATATAAACTTGTGGTATATTTTTCTTACATAGATTTGAAACAATTTATATTAAAAAAGTAAAAAAATAGATGTAAATTTGTAACTATTCCCAAATTTTGGTTAGAGCGCTCAAATGCGATATATATTTGACACGAGTTTGTCGTAATGCCGATAATATCGCGAATGCACCTTAGGTACAAACGAAGCGAAGCGAAGTGATGTCATAGATAAAAGGAAAGACTAGATCAGGGAAGGAAAATGAGATAACATTAGCTATGTGAAATAAATGAGTTGTACGTTCAACTATTAGTCAATTACTGCTTGAAATTGAACCATATAATGGTGCTACCCTAAAGGTATTTAGTGATTATGAAAATGACTTAGTTATTTAATATTTTATCAAACATTGAAAAAAATTTTAAACTTTTTAATCTAATAATTAGTATAAATAATACATTTTTATCAAATATATTAAATTATATTATATCTTATGTGATTATATTTAATGTAGCCTAATAAATAAGATAATTTGATAACATCATTATATAAAGCACATTCAAAAAATAACGCAATACATATAAATGCGCTTTAATGACTTAGCAAATGAAATATTATTTGTCGATAGAATAAAAAATAAATAATATAATAGTAACGCAATGAGAACAAAAAAACGTGCTAATTTTCTCAGAGAAGTATGAATACCAATCTTTACAAACAAGCAGTTTTTTAAAATTACTACTTTTTTATTGCTAGCGTTTAAATATATGGACTCTGTAAGAAATTGGTTCTCATAAATAATGATCATATATTATTTATTTTTAATTTTAAATAATAAAAAAATCCTGAAATTTGTAATACATAATGTATATTTTAATCATGACTCCATAATAATAAATTTTGCAGATGGCTAAAAGTATCGTAATATAATAAAATTCTAATTCTTCACTTGTCAAATATTTTTACCAATGATATGCTTTTCAATATTTTCTCATTGTTTTGTTTGTTTTGTTTTTTCATTGTTGGGGAATAAAGAAATGATCTTATCTTGAATTTTATAATCATTTTGTATGATGAGTAATGTTGGACAATAAAAACATTAAAGACGTTATTAGACACACAAATCATGCATATTCAAACAAATGGAAAAGGTATTACGATAAACAATTCTAAAACCATTGCAACAACCATGATAGTCAATGATTTTCAAATAATAGATTATATTGTCCGTCTATATTCCAAATAAATAACACTGAAAATGCAGTGTAGGAGTATCAAAACAGTTTTGAATGTTCGAATGAAGTTGTCACTTTTTATAGAAATATTTATAATCTCATTGGTGTATTGTGCTCGAACATATGTGCAATTACTTTAGAGGTGATTTAATGTAATGTATGATGATTTCAAAAAATAATTTAGCACATCGGGAGAAGCACATGTAACCAAGATTTTGGAAAGTCAACTTTTATTTGGAGATAAATTCATTCCACCTCGTGGGGCGATGCATCAATGGGGTAGACACCAATATGTCTAAAGACAAAGGAATGTAGTAGTTTATACAATTATAAAAAATATCAACAATTTTAATGACACCGTTAGTTATTTTCATAGAAATATTAATGCTTTGTTAGTAGAAGTACCTTATTATTAAGATCATACGATCATGAAGTTTAACTATATGTTGGGTCAGAATGTTTCTTAAGTGTGAATAAATTGACCTTTTGTCAAATTAATTAAGAGGAATTTTGGACTCCAATGGTTTACTTTATATATTTTTGTTGGGGGTTGTAAAACTTTATTTCACTATTTTTTTATTAGGACATAATTCTAAATAAAAAAATCACATATGAGTTCATTTGTTCTATATTTTACTTCATTTCTGCAATGATATGTTTATAAATAAATTAATTTATTTTACAAACTTACTCAGTGAAAATCATTCAACACCATGTGCATCGCACGTGCACTTTACTAGTCTTTTAAAATTAGGGAAATGCTCGTTACGGAATTATTCTGTCGGGGTTTGTAACTGTTAAATCATCATATAACCATCGGGAATAGTTGATTAAACGGTTTGGCGCATCCACATTCTCACTAAACAATGCATCATCATCATCACTGCTACTATTTCTGAAATCATAATCACTATCAATAAAATCATCCTCATCTTCTTGTCTCTCTAGTTCACTCTGTTCATATTCATGTTCATTCTCATTTTCATTTTCTTCAACATCTAAACACCACCCTTCCCACTCTCAGAACCATTGTCCTTCCCACTCTCATTTTCATTTTTTTCACTCTTACAGCCACTGCCTTTCCCACTCTCAGAACCACTCTCAGACCTCACTAAAAATTTCGATGTCTACACTCACTCCCACTCTCAGACTCACTCCCACTCTCAGAATTAGAATCAAAATTAATCCATCCTACATCCATGGACAATCTAGAAGGACTGAATGTACCTTCATTTTCAACATACAAAGTCATTTTTCTACAACCATATTTATGACATAAAACCCCTATTTCAATGTCTTCATCATCAAGCAGTGGCTTGAAACTCAAGTCAATCAATAAGAAGTACTTCCTACTACCAACAACACCAAATTTGTCAGACATTTTCTTCAATGTGGAGTTATTCAAGGACCTCATATAGACAAAATCAAATGTCATTTTAGACCCTCCTTTATAACACATAAAACCTTTTATTTGAAATGTTCCACCACACCACATAGTTACTGTAAACAACTCACTACTACGATCTATGGAGCACAGACCCAAAAAACAAACAAACAAACAAACACAGAAAGTTTGTCATTGAAAAAAAAAAAAAAAGCAAATAAAAAAACAAAACAAATAAACAGGGGTACCAATGAAAAATGCAAAATTTCATTAAAGTCACCGTATACAGGAATGCCTGCGTTCCAATATTTCTTTGACATAGTCCATATTGACTTCACTAACTTCATGTTTTTTCAATCAACCTTCTCACTCAATCGGCCTTTATCTCATCGTCTGTCTCTCTAAAATCGAATTTCTCTATAGAATCCTCTCTCAAGAACAACCTTTCCACGCTATGAAATTAACCTTCTCTATGCAATTTGTATTCTGGAAAAACCCGATGGAAAAGAAAAGAAATGTGAAGATTAGACCCCTAACCTCTCAACCCAAAGGCTCTGAAGATTAGGGTTTTTTTATCGTCAAATAACGATTCATCTGCCAATTAATTTTCTCTTCATCACTATTATATTGGTTACATGTTTTGTTTTTATTTTTTTTTTCTCGTTATTTTTAATTGTTTCCATTGCCACGTCAGAGGATATAGGCAGCGTAAGAGAAAATCGGCGTTGCGGCATGCCAAGTCAGAAGAAATGGCTACGAGGGCATCACGTGACAAAACCGACTACATTTTTTACTTTTTGGCGTCGGAAGAACTAAAATTGCGTTGACTTTGAAAATTACGGAACTAAATAAGAAAATGTTTAGATCTCAGGATTAAATTTGCCATGAGGCCAAAGCAGCAGGACCAAAAATGTAATTTTACCTTTAAATTATTTATATATTATTAAAGACTCGTGAATCGCACGGCGTACTAGTAGGTTTAGTAATACAAATTTTAGTTAAAAGAAAAATGGAAACAAACAAAAATAGATGAAATTCGCAGGGCAAGTATGCAATTTAAATCCGGGCACCTCCAATTTCAAAATGGCTCATAATAATGTCATGTCAGTATCAGTGTACTATTTTAGTCTCCTAAAGCGAGCGCGGTAGCTAGCAGCTTCATATCCATCCTCGACGGCCTTCGAAATCCACCACCAAAATCGCCCAATAATCTTACCGCCTCCATACTTGCTGAAAAAAAAGCTTATACAGTCTCATAGTTGTTTCCGTTGGGAGGAAAAGTGTTTTTAGCTTTACCATTGGAAATGGAGGAAACTCATCCTCTCGCGGAGGAGCTCGCAAAAACCGAAACCGCTCAACATCTCGACAACCACCGAAGCTCCACCGACCGTGGAGGTGCGCCAAACCGCGCCAAGCAACAACACCAACGGAAGGTGATGTTCCGCCTGCTTTGCCACGTCAGCACTGCCAGCGGTGTAATAGGTTGCTCGGGTTGTGTAGTCAGGGGTCTCGAAAACCTGACGGGTTCGAGAATTTTTTTCCAACACGTCGTTCCCAACTGCCTTGAGCGCTTGATCCACATTCTGGGCGATTCCGCCGTGGAGAAGAAGATATTTGTGGGGAAAGATGGAGGAGGAGGAGGAGGAGATGGTGAACTTGTGGGTGTCTCTAAAGCCCAGGAGGGTTTGCTTAGGGTTTTCGAGAGGATTCTGCAGTTGGAAGGGGATGCTGGAGTAGAAGAGGATGGCGATGGTAGGAATGGGCTCGTCGGGTGTCGGTTATTGGCCTGGAATGGTCAAATCGGGGTCGTGATGGGAAAAGGAGGGAAAATCATCGAGGGGATACAGAAACGGACCGGAGCAAAGATTAAGGTTCTGCCGAAGGAGACGAATCCTGAATGTGCAGGCCATAATGACGAGCTGATTCAGGTTATCTTCTTTGTCATTATCGTTGGAGTTGTGTGACGAATGGGTTGTTTAAGATTCGGATGTGTATGGTTTTGTTAGTTGGTGCTCAAGTTCGTGATTACTTTTTCTTTCCCTAGTATAGAAAGCAGTTAATGATGGCAGTTAATTAATGTGGTTTATTAAGGTATTGATATTACTCTATAAACTCTGTGTGCGAGAATGGTCTGTAAACAATATTTTCAGAAAAAAATATGTTACAGATTAGCCAAATTGTTAACTTCAGTGATAAGATATTTGTAGTTCTTCAGTATCTTGTGTTGGCTGATAGGGATTGTGTTGGACTTGATTTTGGTTGTAAATTTAAGAATAGCCTTCTTATCATGTACTGGTGTGGTTTCATGTAGGACCTTATTATTATTTAAGAATTCCATGATGCACTCTCAGCGTTTTGCACCTTTTTTCTTCCTACTTTATTTCATTCATATGAAGTCTTGTGCTTAAGGCTCTCCATTAACACTGTACGGTTGCAGTGGCGTTCGTGGTATTTAGCTCACCTTTTATAAAATCAAGTTCCCATCTAATCAATAGCGAAATTTTTAAAGTCATAAACTACTATACTCAAAACCTTATAAAGAAAGTTATTAAGCAAGTTTTGGCCTGCTTGTGAAGTAGCAATGAACAATACCACGAATGTTAGGTAACTCTTATTTATGCATGTTCAAGCGCTTGTATACAGTGTGTCCATCGTTCAGTAAGTGTTAATATGGTTTTTGAATATTCCATCTCTTCAGGAGATGCATTACTTGTACACAAATGTATAATACATTCAAATAATATGATAATGTCTGTCCGTGGTTTGAAACATGAAAATGAGGTATTAACTTAGTATGATCAGAAGGATCTTGGATATTTGGCAACTCGGTTGTCTCTTTTTGTGTAAGCAACCATTTTTCACTTCTGTTCTGAGGATATCTAAGGTGTGTGATAGATCACGGGTGGTGTTGTGGCTGTAAAGAAAGCACTGCTTGCTGTTTCGAGTCGTCTCCAGACCAAAGTTCTTGAGAAGCGAGATCCTGGAGTCATGTCCTCCCATGGGCCGTGGCACAATTTACATGCGGACTTGAGTCCAGAAAATAGTCGTAATACACCATCCTTTCCTGGGAATGCAGTTGAGCCTCATTCTATTGGCCATTCTTTATCGGCAGAAGTCGAGGCTGTTCCTAATCTAGATGAAGATAATTCCCTGAGAAAGGTGGTTTTCAGATTTTTATGTTCTGATGAAATAGCTGGTTGTGTGATTGGAAAGAGTGAACAAGCTTTTAAGTCTTTCCAAGAAGAAACTGGGGCTTTGATACAGTTCACATCACCTTTGTCCGGCTCAAAAGATCATGTTGTCATCATCTCGGCGTTGGAGGTAATAAATCATCCTGGTCGTAAATTTATTTTGACAACAATGCTACCATTGTCCTCTTTATTGTTCTATCTGATCTTATAAACTTTCATGTCAATCTCATAAGTCTGTTCATATTTTAATCTTCTACAAGTTCTTGGTTTTGTCTTTGCAGAGTCGGGATCCACTGTACTCTCCTACACAAGTGGCTCTTGTTCGTGTTTTTGACAGATGCGTAGAGTCTGCCATTGCCAAGGGGTTGATATTAAGATCTGGGACCTCGAATATTATACCTGCAAGAATTCTGGTCAAGTCGAGTCAAGTTAGTTGCTTGCTGGAGGGTGAAAGGATTGTTTCAGGTTTAAATGCTGCTTCGGGTGCTGAGATACAATTAATGGGAGATGATTTATTGCCCACGTGTGCTGGAGTCAATGATTGTCTGGTCCAGGTAAACTGCTACTATATGGTCGTGCATAAATCATGAGACACGTTTTATCTTGTATGCTCATTAAGATATATGGAAGAAACCATTTGGGCATTTGTTTATTATATGAGCAGCACTCAAAACAAAGATTTGCTATTGACTGATTCCAAGTCTTATTGCATGGTTCTGTAATATTGGGAGTCAGCAAAATTAGCTGCTGACCTATAGATGGAAGTAATGGTTGAAGAACTGCCTTTACATGCTTGTTCTCTGTCTGATCTGTCGTCTTGGCTTATTCAGTCGAAGCAGATACATGTCAGCATACTTGTAAATGGATGGATTTTTGCTGTAATGCCTGCTTTGTTGAATCTGCAAAAGCTTTCTTTTACAGATTACGGGCGACTCTGAGAGCGTTAAGGCAATTCTGTTTCAACTTGCTGGAAGATTGAGGGAATACTTCTTTTCTGAAGTGGGACCTGAAGAAACAGAAAACTGCAGTCATGAATCGCATCAAACTACTCCTAGGTAATATTTTTTTTCTGAATTGGGACATGAACAAACAGAAAACTGCTGTCATGAATGACATCAAACTTCTCCTAGCAGCAGTCCTATAGGTTGCTCGTCAGCTACTTCAACTCAACTGGATCAACTGTCAACACTTTCTTCTGTGGATAAACTGGATCCAATTGGGTTTGTACAGGTATTTTTTCTAAAGCAGTATATTCGGTTGACTGCTCACTTCATGCATGTGAAATGTAAACTACGTTATGAGATTTGCTTTCTCATATTTTTCGAGATATTTTGCGTTTGATACGGATAATTCTTGGAGTTTTATTATATTATGGTCCAACATAATGGAGAGATTGCAGCAGATCAAAGAGGTTTAGATGGTAACTGATATGTGCAAACAAGATAATTTGACGTACTACTAGTTCATTCATTCTTATCTCTTTTTCCTCTCCCTTCTCTTTCATTTTTCTCTCAGCAAATGTGCTATTAGCAAAATTCCATCCTTGACTTGGGGTCTGTCTGCCGATTCAGCCATTTTCACGAGCTTCTGTTAGTTTGCTTGTTTGCTCATCTCTTTTATTTACAAGATTATATTGGAGACAATACAATGCACTCCGTTTTTGGCACCTTAACTTTGGCACTTCTTACGTATACATGTTTACCGTGACCCTTTGTGTGGATAACTAGAAGACATTCATTCTGTTGCAGTTGTTTTCCTTGTGTTATTCGGGCCTATTCATAATGGTTTTTATGCGCCGTTAATATTACCCAATTTATTTTCCCCAGATATCAGGTACAAGTGTGACCCTGCAAGATCCTTCTCGTGGAGGAAGTTTGGAGGAAGTTCCGGGAAGGTGATCGATCATATCTGGGATGCTTGACATATAGAGATTGCCCAGAGTATATTTCAAGCTTTCATTTTGTTTTAACCATATTGCTCGGAAGGCTACACCCCTATCGGTAGATAGTCGAAAGGCATGCTTTTACCACTGACCTTACTAGATTGTGCAACCCGGGTTTTGTCTAAACTCTAAGTTGAGCCGCTCATTAAAATCCTCTTGTGCGCCCTTTAATAGTTAAAAAATAGGATGTGGTGATGTATGTGCTGCTGGTTGTTAGTTGTTATTGTGCTCGTGTTTATGGAGAATGTGATTTATTGACATGGAAGTATCTGGATTTTGTGATTTCATCATTAAAAAAAAAAAGGATTCGCGCTTTAATGTAATTCATACCCGAAGAAAATGGGTGAGCACATGATATGGGTCCAAGAGGCAATAAGAAATACATAGCCCGATTTACATGTTTAAATAAAGTTGACATAATTTTTTCAAAATAAACAGGGGCATTTATTTATGCTAACTAAATAATTTAAGATATTACCCATCATATTCCAATATGTAGTCCGCACTCTTCTCTATGTTATGACCAATAAATAATTGAAAAAAAAAAATATTATAAATGCAAATAGCATTTTACATAAAACGCGGTCCATTGAGAGGTTTTTTTTTTTTTTTTTTTTTTTTTTTTTTTT